TATTTTAACGTTGTGTGTTATTTTTTTGACATTATACACAAGGGCCAATAAATGATACTTAATGAATTTCGCATACACACAGAGACTAACTAGACTTCGTAGTGACAGAGTTCCATGATAGAATGCAACAGTTACAATAGAACGTGTTCTAAACAAGCAAAATATGACATAAAAAGCAGAACCGAATAGTTTCATGAGTAATACGAATTGAAGCCAAATATGTTGGTATAGGTTTTACTATAATCAAGATGGTAAAACTAAGTATGGCATAACGTCGACGTCAAAAGAAGAATTTAAAACATTAATGGGATCATTCTGGGTATCAAAAAGTGCGGCACTGTGTTTCACGAAAGTGTTTTACAGAGAAATTCATTGCTTCAATATCCTGCACGACTGTCTCAACTATTCTTTTCAGATACATTTAAAAGTTAAAATATTTCTTTCACCTGTAACAGGAACGAAAGTAATTAAACAGGAGATCAGTGTGGTCTTGAGAGATAACGGGCGGTTATGATAATGGATTGTCTGAAATTAGCTTTTTAAACAATTCCAATCAAAATAGAATAACAAATTTTAAATGACAGATGCTCGATCTGCTTAAAACATTTTGAAACCTCTGTTGCATGATGTAGTCTTTGTGGCTTTAATGCTTCTAAATATAGCTTATATTGATCGAATCTGCTTCATTACCGAGGGAAAAAGGCTCATTGTTTTTTAAACGTCGTTAAGAAGATTTAATAACATATTTTTTATCCACCTTACTTCTAGGACTTTGATGCTTCTATGACTAAGCAGCCTTGACGTTTTTGTTTGTCTGAGATGCAGCGACTTCTCTACATACATTTTGTAGACATGTCTCAACATGTTCAAGCACTGATGAAAGTCTAAAGTCTCATAAATGAGTTTTTTGGTTGGAGGAAATGGTTTCTAGATTTTGAGCTGATTATCATGAAGTAGCTATCGATTTCTCTTAACATAATAACTTCAGTTTGTTTTCTTGAACAAGTCTGGAAAAACGGCCTTATCACTTAATGGCAAAAATCTTCTAGTTTTATGAATCTATGTAAAATTTTGAAAACACTGAAAAAATGTGTTTTATTACTTAAAACGCAATGAGTGGCAGAAGATACATTACATTATTACATTTTGCTGTGACATGCAAACACACACACACATATTGTATGTAATGTAGTTATTTTTCTTAGTACAAAGTTGCACCATTGGCTATCTGCACTCTTTCCACTGCAAGAAATCGAACCCAAAATTTTAGCATTGTAAGTCTGTAAACTTACCGCTACCCCACCGGATTGTTTTATGATGTTCTGTATCTATTCTTTAGCCACGTGACCAAGAAAGTTTGACTAATTCCCTTTAGATGCATTTTATTTTACTATCTCTTTCCAAAAATCAAGGCCGGTACAACAAACTTATTAGTAACTGACACACAATGTGCATATAAAAATAGAATATGATATCAATTACTGTAATGGCACATGTTCTTGCATGTGGGTTTCAATGCAAATTATAGTAAATGCAAAGAAAAACAAACAAAATTTAAGTTGTAATCCTTGGCAAAATTTTACATTATCGATAAGAAATAAATTGAAAAGTCTTGTCAGTGTTTTTAGAACAAATATTTCCACTAGAGATTCTTGGACATATAACCAAAATGCCTACAAAATGTTTTGTTCTATGCCTTAACATTTCCAGTATGCACCTTTATCAAGACGTTGAAACACAAAATGAAAATAAAGAATAATTCGAACCTAGTTTTTTTAAAGTATTAAATTGATTTTAATACTAATCCCTAACGACATTATTTCTCTGTTTTGCTTAATGGAAAATCAACTTTGCTGCAAGTTCTTATCATATCACGAATACCACTAGCCTAAGCTGCTTTAATATAAACATTTTCTTCATTTGAAACTAAAATAAGTGGAATAATTTAAAAATGATACTTACATGATAGGATTTGCACACATACATTGACTGGCCACGTTATTAAGACCCTTTCATCCATTTGTAGAACTCTTTATTTGCATAAATATGCAAAATTTGCTGATCAGGTATCGTGTCAGGCTATTAATTGAATCCTATATATACGGAGAAGTAGCTGTGTTGTGGCTCACCTGGAACAAAATGTAATGTTAAATCATTTGTCGCGAAAGTTTATCGATATTGTTAATGTATTACAAATGTACTACTATAATGTACAACAAACTGTTGGCGAAATATTTAGGGAAAGACTTGCAAAGTTTACACAAACGTTAAATTGTGTCCCAGTAGACTGATTCCCTCGATAGTAAGCAGGATTAGATTAGATTTTAATCGTTCCATATGAAATACATTAACTTAATGTTAACTTATAGCTGAAAAATGCTTTTCTCGGATACGAACAATAAACAAACCACATTGGTGCTTACAATACAAAATGTACACCATGAATAACAAGAAGCAAGTGATTGGTCTAGTATGTCATAGTTTACTATTTTCTTCAGTAATAGTAAAATGAAATTATAATAGAAACTACATAGTGGACGTGAATTTATTTATCTTGTTTCGACAGTGTCGGTTGGTGGTTTGTTTGTTGTTAAGTATAAAGCTACATAATGGGCTATCTGTGTTGTGCCCACCACGAGTATGAAACCCGATTTTGGGCATTATAGGCCAACAGATCTCCTGTTGAGCCACTGTGGGGCTCCATTTGATGAAGATGGCGTGAAAAGGAAGAGTGATCTCTTGTAAAACACGAGTCCTTTTAGTTTATTTAGAAGAACAAACTGTACCAAACTGTACTTTATTGCCAAACGTGTCTGCTTCACAATGCTACATTTTTATTTAGACTCAAGGGATTTTTTCTAAGACGATAAATTATCAAATTAGACTTTAAAAGTTTCATTCTATCACAAAAAAAAAAAGAAAAGAGCACACCAGTGTAACAATATTATTTATAAAGCTATCTGCTTGGTTTCATTGGGGTGGGAGGAGTCAAAGACTGCAAATAATATTAAAATAACAATCCTCAGTACCCCATTTGTGCAAAGAAAAAGCAGTGTCTGTTAGAGTCGAACTTCAGCGAAAATGAAGCCAAGAAATTATGTAACTTAACAAGGCTATGTGTAACGTTCACGTATTATATCTGTGAGGGTAATTGTTATAAACAAAGCCATGGTCTAAAAATGGGCGACCTTTAGGGTAAACCAAAAACTTAAGTCTACGAAAAGCCGAACGGGGTTTGTTTCACATATCAAATCAAATCTTTCTTTTTTTTCTCAGAGAACAGATTTTTTTAATACTATATATTTTTTGTAAATGTTCATTATATCTTCAGACTAAGAAGATGCTGCTAAAGAACTGAATTTCTTTTTCAAATATTATCTTCGATCAAGAGTTTGAAATTAGCATGACAAACAAACTATACTTCAAAATTAAGAAACACGTAGCTAAACAAAAAATAACAAGTAAAATCTTTGTTTAAATTTCTAACTAAAATTTTTTAAAATAATCTGTAACTTTCTCAAAAGAAAGAGTCTTCCGGTTAGTCAACGGTAAGCTTCCGGACTTACAGTGCTAAAATCCGGGGCTGTATTTCCCACAGTGGAAAGAATGCAGGTAGCCCATTGTGTACCTTTTAACTAAGAAAACATCAACAACAAAAGAAAGAGTCTTCCGGTTAGTCAACGGTAAGTTTCCGGACTTACAGTGCTAAAATCCGGGGCTGTATTTCCCGCAGTGGAAAGAATGCAGGTAGCCCATTGTGTACGTTTTAACTAAGAAAACATCAACAACTAAAGAAAAGTTTTCAGTATAACTTTCAAACCTATGTACAGAATATGAAACATATACTATATAAATAGACATAAATTCAAACCACGAGCGATCATACAATTTATCAAATACATGTGAATGTGACAAATTATACATTGGACGAAAACAAGAATAAAACAACACATTGTAAAAATGGATAAACTGACAAATCAAATACAGCCTATCACATTGTAAAAATTGATAAACTGACAAATCAAATACAACCTATCACATTGTAAAAATGGATAAACTGACAAATCAACTACAGCCTATCACATTGTAAAAATGGATAAACGGACAAGTCAGCTATAGCCTAACACATTGTAAAAATGGATAAACTGACAAATCAAATACAGCCTATCACATTGTAAAAATTGATAAACTGACAAATCAAATACAGCCTATCACATTGTAAAAATGAATAAACGAAAAAATCAGCTATAGCCTAACACACTGTAAAAATGGATAAACGGACAAATCAGCTATAGCCTAACACATTGTAAAAATGGATAAACTGACAAATCAAATACAGCTTATCACATTGTAAAAATGAATAAACGGACAAAGCAGCTATAACCTAACACATTGTAAAAATGAATAAACTGACAAATCAACTCTAGCCTATCACGTAATAGAAGAAGGGTCATATTATCAATAGGAATGATGATAAAATCGTTGCACAACCTCAAGAACTTTGAAGAGAGAAACATACGCGAATCGATAGAAATATTAAAGAAAGATTCGATTGTAAATCTAGACGAAGGACCAGGATTACCTCATATAAGGAAAAGTTTGTTTTTTTCAGTGGTTGAATTCTGACATCTTTCATACAAATGGAAAACACAGTGGTTATATAATACTCTTACTAAACATAGTTTCAAGTGACGTTGTTAAATCATTTTTGAGCTTTTATAAGCACACAGTAGATAAATACTTCTGAAGAAGGCAACCTGGGGCTGCTGAAACATGTCACGTCCTTTATATTAAAAATAGTCATGCTTTATAACGTTGTTTTCGTGCTATAATTTAGTATTCTGCTGTGCGTGCACCATTTTACATTATTCAAAGAAATGATTGGCTGTTTTGCTCCAACGTCAGCAATACTAATTCACTCATCAAGAAAACCAGCAAATAAAGGATAAGAAATGGTGGGTTGTTTCTTGCCCTCAATTGGCAGATTTCACTGAAGTAGGTGAGTATATAAACCGACGTACTGTCATCTAACTGCCTTTCCACTTGCACTGTATCTTTAAATTAGTAAACATGAGATCGTGTATTCTGGGATTGCTTTTGGTGTCTTCTCTGTTAATCAGTGGTAAGTGACCAACCATTCTACTTGTGGTGCACCCTTCTTGAGAAGTTAATTTGTGAAAAAGTATTACTTTATATTCATATATAATATGAAATCATTTTACACTTCTTTGTAAAATATTGTTAATACGTGCCGTATATTTCAGTAGCGATTTAGTAAGGTTTTATTACCTTCTTGAAGAGAAGTTATTATTAATGGACATCATGACCTTAAATCAAAAATAAATAAATAATTTATTTTTTCACAACCTTAAATTCACATTTCTATGTAACTTCCTGTATTGGAAAGTGAGGAATGTGCCTATTCGTTAGTTGTATACTTTGCATTATAGATACATTTCCGAAAGGATTTAGATTATTATAATATTATGAATTACTATTCATATTTCATTAAGGAACACGGAATTAGTGTGTATTTTGATTTATTTTAATCAAGCGGCGAAATACGCATTACTAAATCGTCTCACTACTTCAAGTCTTAAGAAGTGAAAAAATAATATTATCTTAAATCATATTTTGGCCTAATGACGATTTGACTGTTTGTTATTAAGCACACAGCTACACAAAGGGCTATCTGTGCTCTGCCCACCACGGGTATCGAAACCCGGTTTCTAGCGGTATTAAGTCCGTAGGAAAATGGAAGAAAAACATTAAATTCGAAGTGATCACATTCATTTACGCACCTGTTCAGCACGATCGAACGGTAGGGCGTAGTATAAGCTTATGTGTAAGTTAACTGGCGATTTGTCCTACTCTTACAACTGTTCTGAAAATGAGAATTACGTAGATCAGTTAGTGATAAGGAAGGCCCTAAACAAAGGACAGTGACAGTTTCCTGATCCAGAAAATAGGGGGCAGTAAACTCATAGTACGACTAATTTAAACAAGCCGTGGTTCTCCAGTCACCTACGGTCAACTCTACCAGCTTTTTTGCCCTACTTGTTAGCAAGAAAACCCGTTCAACCACTTCTGGTTGTCGTTTCGGTGATACTGTTACTATTAGGTTGATGGTTGTGCAGATTGTAAGGCCCAAGAAGCACTATTCTCATCAAGTCAGTATGATTAAAATCATTTCAGCCATCAAGTAGCACTTCATTCTCAATGACAAACTAGAAGAAGGAAAACTAAACCTAAAATAATCTTCTATCTATTTTCAGAAAGGAAATCTACAAAAAAAATACATCATTAGTCAAATAACTTTTTGTTACATTTTGCTCAGTTTTAGTCATAATAAACTTCATAGCAACCAGAAAAATTAATTATCTTAAGAGTAACTTGATTTTACAAAAAAATGCTACATATTCGCCAGAGTAGAACGAATGAATATTCTGGCAAAATATATAATTCCTAAATAAGACAATAAAAATATTTCTGTATGATACAAAAATAATATAGTTAACTACACTTCGCCACCAACATTGTTTCGACAATTATATATGTATATATAAGTGATATCGAGTGGAAATCACTTATAAAACAGAACTGAATTAGTGGATGATATTGTTTAAAGTAATCATGCTCATTTTATCCAACCATTGAAAACTAGAAAACTCAGAAAGTATATAAACATATATTTATTCATTATAGTTTTAGATGCTTTAGAATTATCTCAAACAAATATTTCGTTAAGTTGGAGCCCTTATTGCTCGGTAGATGATTCCAATGAAATGAAATGAAAAATTGACTCGACATTTTAAGATAGTTGTCATAAGAATTACAACTTTTCATATTACATTGATGAAGGTTGTAATATTTCATTCTTTCTATTTTTTAGTGTCAGCACTCTCCATCATCAAACGACAAACAGAGGGTGATTAAAGTTATGATGTTTATTTATTTGTTAGTGTCAGCACTGTTTCTCGTCACGAGACAGATAGAGGGTGTTTAAAGTTATGATGTTTATTTATTTCTTAGTGTCAGCACTGTTCCTAGTCACGAGACAGATAGAGGGTATTTAAAGTTATGATGTTTATTTATTTCTTAGTGTCAGCATTTTTCCTCGTCACGAGACAGATAGAGGGTATTTAAAGTTATGATATTTATTTATTACTTAGTGTTAGCACTATCCATCGTCAAACGACAGAAAGAAGGTGTTGGAAGTTATGATATTTATTTATTTATTAGTGTCACCACTGTCCATCATCAAACAACAGATAGAAGGTGTTTAAAGTTGTGATATTTATTTATTTATTAGTGTCAGCACTGTACGACAAATAGAGGGTGTTCAAAGTTATGATATTTATTTATTTATTAGTTTCAACACTGTCCATCGTCAAACGACAGATAGAGGGTGCTCCATTGCGAATTAGCCAGAATGATGCGGATCTGTGTGAAGGCAGACTTCCGGGTGAATATTTTCGTCTTTCGCCAGAAGAAGAATGTCGAGATGTTGTCAGATGCTCCACACATGGTCTACTAGCCTTAAGATGTCCTTCTGGGCTCGTCTTCGATATCGAAACACAGACGTGCAACTGGAGAGAAGAGGTCAATAACTGTGATCAAATTGAAAAAAAGAAATTAGCTGTACCTCTTTATGCCACCAATGAACCAATCTGCAGCGCTTCAAAGATAGCTTGTGGAAATGGAGATTGTATGGAAAGGGATCTTTTCTGTAATGGTGTTCCCGACTGCTCCGACGGATCTGATGAGAATGCTTGCTGTAAGTGGATATGTTATTTTTCATTTAAATATTATCCTGTGTTGTAGCATTTTAAGTGTAGCCTAACTTACACCTTCAAAGTTCGAACGACTGAACTAAAATTTTGAATTTCAAAGTGTGATTTTATAAACAAGGGATGAAAGTTGGTAGACTCATTATGTCATAGATATACATAGTTGTATATATATGTGTGTGTGTGTGTTTGAATGATCCTGTTTAAAAGTGATAGCAAATATAATTCTAATCTACTATCTTATTTTGTTTTTATTGGAGCTAGTATTTATATGATTTTAGCTGAGCACGATCCGAACAAAGCGCCGCCTTGTGACCAGAGTCAGTGTATTCTTCCCGATTGCTTTTGCTCTCCTGATGGTACCCAAATACCTGGAAAACTGGAACCAAACAACATTCCTCAGATGGTAACCCTTACTTTTGACGACGCTGTGAACATCAATAACTTAGCAGTTTATCACGATATCTTTAAAGAAGGTCGCAACAATCCCAATGGATGTTCTATTAAATCCACATTCTTCATTTCTCACAAATATACCAATTACTCTGCTGTACAAGAGTTACATAGAAAAGGCCATGAGATAGCAGCGCATTCTATCACGTAAGAACCAGTTTCTGTTTTATCTTTACAAAAACCTAGTGAAAAGATAAAAACTATTTATCTTGTCTGAAAAAAATCATAAGTTTCATTCAAAGTACTAAAATGTTTTCACAGAATTTAAATGATATAATCTATGACAAAGTTCTGAAAACATCCAATTCAATTAGGTATATTTATCATTTCATTTTAATTCATTTTTGATTCCAGTAATATATGTTCGGCCTAGGTTATTAAACTTATTAAATCTTAAATAAGTAATACCAGTATTATGTAAAAATTCTTTTTGAATATTACAAATATCACTTTGTACTCTACAGCCACCGTAATGACGAAAAGTACTGGACAAATGCCGACATTGATACCTGGGCTAAGGAAATGGCGGGTTCTAGACTTATCATTGAACGGTTTGCAAATATATCAGACAATTCGGTTGTTGGCGTTCGTGCTCCTTACCTGCGAGTGGGTGGAAACAGTCAGTTCGGCATGATGGAAGAACAGGCCTTCCTTTACGACTCTTCCGTCACAGCCCCTCTCAGTAACCCTCCTCTATGGCCCTATACCCTTTATTTTAGTATGCCCCACAAGTGTCATGGTAATGGACAACACTGTCCTACACGCTCTCATGCTGTATGGGAGTTGGTCATGAACGAATTGGACAGGCGTGATGACCCTGAATTTGATGAAGAGCTGGCTGGTTGCGCCATGGTGGACACCTGTAGCAACATCATAACACGTGATCAATTCTACAATTTCCTTAACAACAACCTGCAACGCCACTACAAGACCAACCGTGCCCCTCTAGGTTTATATTTCCATGCTGGATTCTTGAAACTCAACTCCAAGTTTCTGGAGGCTCTGATCACTTGGATTGACGAATCTTTGGACAAGAACGATATTTACTTTGTCACCATGACGCAGGTTCTTCAGTGGATGCAAAACCCAACAGAACTCAGTTCCATCCGGGACTTTGCTCCATGGAAAGAGAAGTGTGACATCAAAGGTCAAGCATATTGCAGCATCCCCAATGCTTGTCCACTGACCACTAGGGAGTTGCCTGGCGAAACTAACAGATTACACACATGTATGGAATGTCCCCACAACTACCCTTGGTTAGAAGATCCCACTGGTGATTTTTTCGCTTTTAAAAAATAAACACTTCTAAAATAATATATCTTAAATATAAAAACTAAAGTTGTCATTATGAGATTTTAATACAATTCTGAAAATGTTTTTTTTTTCTATATTTGAAAACATACTTGTATATCAGGTTTAAAGCATGAAATACCGCTACAACCTTATTTGGGTCAATAACCCGTTTTCCTCACCAAATTATTTTTTTATTTACGGAAGTTCACGTTACTCCAACTAACGGTGTAGTTCGTAATCTCGCTTATCTATTTGTTTGCCATAGGGAAAAGGAGGACCCAGTTTTGATATTTAAAAAAAATAGCGAGTGATTCCCAGTCAATGTCCTGGAAATAGCAGAGAGCATTTAAAATTATTCCACGTGTCTCCTGTAAACAACTCTGTACATAATATTCGGAATATATACTGAAAAATTCGAAATGTGTGCTTATTCACCCATGTACCACAGGACATTTCGCACAACTCTTAAATTTACAAACTTAAGGTTGTTTAGCAACTGGTACTTAAATAATAAATATTGAATAGTGCCAGTTATAGTGTCCAAGTTTAGGTGTTTAGTGTAAAATATTGTGTTGGTTACTGTATTCTTCTATACTCTGTATATTACCAACCAGGATTTTACGGAAAACAAGAATGGAAGACTTTATAAGAGTGTGTTTCTAATAAAATACCTATACCCATTTTGTTTCATCATTCTTTTTTGATAACCTAGTACTTAAAACAACCTGAGTAGATTGAAGTAATTACCAGACATTTATACTCACTATGAGAAATCTTCTTGAAAAGTCAAAACATTAAACGTATGCATTTACTAAAGCCACTGAAGACGTAATGCTATCAGGTGATAACTGTTCTCTAATTCCATCTTTGCTCTATCAAGTCAGTAACTTGTATATTTTGAGATATTTTTATTTAGCTATCCTATTTGATCAGTTACTTATTTCCATCGATTTTTAGTTTGTTTGTTCTTAAATCCAAAGATACACAATGGGTTATCTGTGCTGTGCCCACCGTGAATATTTTTAACGTTATAAGCCCCAGACTTACCACATGGCCCTTTGGGGGCATTTCCATCAAAACATGAAAAATCAATTTAAGCAGATGAAGCTCGAATAATGTCAACACATTATGGTTCTCTTTTGGATGAATAAAAAAAAAATCCACATTGCTAATTATAAAGTATCTTAATTTTCTGATGGCTTATTCAAAATATGTCAAAAAATTCGTAACAGTGTGTTAAAGAAGTAATTAGTTTTGTTCACCAAACTAGACATTCTTGTAACTAAGATTAATGGTGAACATTCGATAAAAGATGTAACACACAATAACCAATTACAAGTAATTAAATACAATTTGGATTATTGAATTTAGACTAAAATATTTGCTTGTATTCTTAACGAAGAAGGTCATATAACGCTACAATCATAATATAAAAATAACAGTGCAAAATCATGTCTTCATTATTCTTGCGATTCCAAAGTTCACAATAATTTCTATAAAATAATAATAATAAAAACGTTGTCATATATACCAGGAGAGATAATTTGAGTTTTCAAGAAAAAATTATAAGGTTGAGGCATTAAAAAAATTAACGCGAGCTTTGTTGAAAATAATTGCTTTCTTGAAACCTGAAAGTGAGTGAAACTGGAACGGTCACAGTTGATAATAGCAAAACGAGCTTAACACCCGGAACTTGATATATTTTTTAAATCGAGTTCACAGAGAATGAGAACGAGAAACTAGAGCAGTGATATGTAGCTTGTTTTTTGGACTACACCAGGTATCTATGTATGCATGATATTTTTACTGAAAATGTTTCAGCATAATTTCTGCGTGCACAATCACGATAGCATTACAGAAAAGTAGGGCGAAGAGATGCAGAGGCAGATTTCAATCAATGAAATAAGAACGCCCAAAGGAAGAGACCACAATTCGAACACACACAAAAAGTATATAAAAAATATATTTAAGTGACTCTTACTGCGGTGAGGATTAGACACTGAAACTTTTTTAATACTTAATAATCAAAATAATTGATTTCGTAGTTTGAAAGTTAGTTGTGCAGAGTAATACAAAGAAACTTTATGGATGACAAAAAGTCTTTTTGGTTTTCAGTTTCTTTATAGGCTCACAGTAGTATTTCAAGAAGCTGTGTTTCATTTTGTGATTTTTGTTGGACCAATAACTCGTAAAATGTGAGAACGTAGTGACAACTTTTAAATCCAATAACGTGAACAGAATCTTTACAAAGATGTGTAAAATAAAAAGTTTAATTGCTTTCCATATGAATGTACTGATACTTCGATGAAAAACAAGATTTACCCACTTTCGATATGTATATTTAAAGCATTTGATATATTTTAAAGAACACAAGGTGTTAACTTAAGGTAAAATTTGAGTATTTAAATTACGTTGTATCCCAGTGATGTAATATATTAATTTCTGAACACACTATAATATTGTTTTTGTTTCTTATAGGCATAACTCTGACGTCTTATTTCTGACTTAATAATGATTCGTATTCGAAACAAAATGTTGTTCATATTATGCAAGCGCAAAGGGACCTATAAGAGAAATTATTAAAAGCATAAAGTAGCAAAAATAAAAACATTTTTCTTTCAAAATACATATAACGAAAGAATATTGGCTTTCAAAATACTTATTGTACGCTTTTTTTTAGTTTAGGAAAGCATGGGATTTGAACGATATATTGATACTTTAGGGTATCTAGATATTGACTAGTTCATTCTATTATACGTATATATTGTTTACATCAGTTTCAGTACACATATAAAATCTTCCTTTGTATACTTAAGGTCTACTCATGAAAGCCTTGCGTAGTTTTAAACTTTCAAAAATACAATTAGTCTTTGTAAGTTGCTTGTTAGAAATATCTTCTTTAGGCCTTTACATATTACTCGTGCCTTTATTGGCCAGCTAAATGTTCATTCCTACGAAAGAGGGCAGCACCATATTAAAACACCGCCACTAATCACACAAAACTTCTGACATGTTTTGGTTGATTACTTTATTTTAAAGATCTATGACAGATGAAATAATAATTTTTATTTTAAGATTTGTTTGTCATACAATTATAAACATCACATGAGAATCTACACAAACCATCCGAAACTCATATGATGGAGAGAGAACGTCAAACAATTTATTTGTAATAGGCTTCAATTTCAAGGTAGTGGAACGCTAAGTTAGCGTGTGCAAAACAGTGTGCAATTTCAACAGTCTCTTAAAATGTTTTTCTCAATGCAGTTAGAGCTAAATCATGATAAAACAATTACGTATCACGCTTTGGTTTTAGTATTTTTGATAAAATTCCAGTCGTGAATCCGTTAATACACAAAAAATGCAATAGACTTTCCAAAAAATAATGAGATAACTACCGGCAACGAAGAAAACAAATCAACATATTAAAACACCTGTTTCGCATTAGCTATTTTTCGTGGTATAAGTTTTTTCGATTTTTATTTTCGATTTTATCGGCAACGAAGTATTATTATAACGGTTTCAATTGTTGGCAGGTTCATTTGTATTATTCAGTAAAAAAAAAGGAGAGGGAGAAACGTAAAGTATAGTTCACTTAATCATATTGAAAGTGTTTTATTTCTTCAACTACGAGTTCTACAAGTTAACTTGGCTAACGTTTATTGTTATGCCTAAATTCACAGTAGATGCTAATACAAAACTTTTAATTATATGCTGCTTCTCTAGTATCTGTATTTCTTCGTCGAAACACAAACTCAATAATCAGATCACAAAGCTATCAAACTAACAAACGTAACTGGATAATATCTCACTACTTCAGACTCAATATAACTTACTGATAGACTCAATAATCAATAAAACATAAACCCTAGCATAACTCGCGGTTTATACCAAGAAGGGTCTAGTCATTGAGCCACAGTCACAAAGAGATTCCCACAGTAAGGGTAACACCCAATTTTACACTTGCTGTAGTTAATGGCCACTTGCTTTTTGCATTATACTATCTTCTTGTTTCATCTTTGGAGGCAATATTTTAGTTTTTATCATCAGATAAGGTCAAACAACGAAGCTATAGTATGAATACCAATCAATATGTTACAAGGCTTTCCATCAAAAGACTCCACTGATTCATTGACTGGTTTCTATAAAAAATGCACGTTTTATTTCGATTTCAGCAGATGGAATATCTATCATATTCTCGGAAATTTCGACATTTACAGAAATCTCCTTTTTTCACTCATCGTTTGTAATCAGCTTCTATCTCTTAAAGGTTATTATCTGCAGTTCCATACTATACGCTTTTTCAAATTTTAACTGAAACATCTCCTGCCCTATTGTTTACTTCTTCTATTCTAAGTAAACAGTTTTTAATGAATCAGTTGACTTCTTCTAGAGGGTCATCAGAGAGAGCTAATGTTTCAACAGTGTCTAATTCGATAATCTCATAATCCCTGAATAGCGCCTTTAATTAACTCAAGTTTCATCAGAAACAAAACAGCTTTCCTTAAAGATTTTCACCTAATTTTTTATATACTAATTCATATATCTTCATCGAAAATGGCATTTATGAATTGTTCGTGTGCCAAACATTCCGTAATTTCCCGCGAAGCATCTGGAAAAGACAGCAGGACGAGTCTTTCTACGCGTTAAATATTTCGGCTAAGTAATTATCTTCCCTTTTTACCCTGCTCCTAAAGTGTGCTCAGGAAACTTCATTTTCATGTGACACTAGAAATATATTTGTTGAGGCGAATACTAATACATGGCAGTTGTTTCACTGCTTATTGGAAGATTGCTTAAGACCTAAACCCGATTTTGTATCGTTTTCACGTGTGTGACACCTGCTAATAAATGTAATGAGAATTATATTACTACAAACTTTTATTTTCTCATAATATTACATGTTTCGGTTCACTGTTATTTAGTCTTGAACATGTAAAGAGTCAGTTACTCAAAAAAACAAAACAAAAAAAAACTACTTATATAGTTTTTGTCAAAAATATTTAATAGTTTCATCAAATGCTTAGAATTACTTAGACAGTTTTAGAAAACTGATTTTTTGAAATGAATGTAAAAGCCGTAATTAAACATTTGTTTCTGGAAGTACATCTAATTTGATAACTTACTTTATTTTTAAGCCTAGTTAGCATCTATATTAATTTTTCTTATTAGTAGTTTAATATGCTGTTTAATAATATTATTTTCAACACTTTAATACTTAATATGTATTGTCCTATCAAAGAAAGATAAAGTGTTTAGTAGTTTATTACAATCATATAAAAAAGTCATGAAACAATGGCGGATTTGGCGTACACTCCAATGTGCAAAAAACACTTTGTTAGTTATGTGTTATGTTATTCTATACTTTTTTACAGCCCTTGCCTTTATCCACATTGAACTTTCTCAACAAAGACTGGCAGGCCTCTTTACAATTTGTTTCAGTTGGTTCATAGTGTTCTTTTGTAATTACAAGAACTCTAGCATTTCTAGTGATTCTACGGTAGTCCTGTTACGACTTGCTACTTTGACAGCGCCATTTTACTTAGAATGGAATACATGATAACATATGAAAGTTCTCGTTGTTTTTGCTTTCAGTTGAAAGAAGAAGATAAAGTTAAGGATTACTTCGAACAGTTTAGGATAAAACTAATGAAATGAAGACTGTGTTATTTTATGTGAC